ATTGTGCATGATAAAGTATGTATTAGCTCTAGGTGTTTGAAAGTGTGTTCAACCTATCTAGCGTGTTTATCCACACAGAGCTAGGATGTAAGAGTTAGGTTGGTTATATAATGACTTAGGTCAAGATGCGCACACTAGACTAAGCACTTAAGATCGTGGCGCCGTCAAGAGGAAATAGACCCTATTACTTGAGGACTAAAGAAAGAGTCGAGGAGCTAAAATAGAGTAACCTGGAACCAAAAGCTCGTGTTAAGCAACCTAGCTGGCTTAGGAATCCTATAAACCTCTTCAACTCCAAGACATGACCAAGACACATTCTAAAACCGTGAAGGTGACGACAATGCATAACGGGCCAAAGTTGATTATATATGCTAGAAGTAATTTGTATATGTTATAAAAAAAATAGTCAAGATGACCGAGCTAATCTAAGTTTTCAGTTTCAGGTACTGTTTTGAAAAGGCTTGGGTTCGAATCCCATTATAGACATGATATTTTTTAATAGTGAGACATGGCATTGAATGGGGAGGTAAAATGGTCAACCTTTTAAAATGTGAGGCTAGCATACGTAACTAGTGGTGGACGGCCATTCCTAAAGCTTAGGAATCATGGATTAAGAATACAAGCTTAGGAATCATGGATTAAGAATCTTGTATGAATTAATTTTGTATGTATATTTACATGCTCTTAAAATATAAAATTTTGATAACCACTTGTAAAACTGTTTTCTTTATAAATTTTGAAGTCTTTCGATCTAGGGACATGTAGGTGATAGGCCGACCACACTTCTACTCTGAAGTGTTAGAAAAGAGGATGAGCTATTGTGAGCTGTGCTCTAGGTTGATTTATGGATATTATCTTCCATTTGAGCTGATCCAATCCAATAAACCTCTTCAACTCCTAGACATGACATGACTAAGACACATTTTAAAACAATGAGGCTGATGACGATGCACGGCCTATTGTGATCTGTGCTCCAGGTTGATTTATGGATATTATCTTCCATTTGAGCCGATCCAATCCAATAAACCTCTTCGACTTCTAGACATGACATGACCAAGACACATTTTAAAACAGTGAGGTTGACGACGATGCATACCGGACCAAATGGATAATATATGTTAGCATTGATTTGTATGCTCTTCAATTAACTTTAAAATGTTTCTCCTTTATTAGAGCTAGGTTTCAATCCTAAGACCTGTGGGTTATGGGCCCACCATGCTTCCGCTGCACCACTCTAATTTATTAGAAAACAAGATTAGCTATTGTGATCTGTTCTCGAGGTTTATTTATAGATATTATATTCCTGTTGAGCTTGTTTGCTTGTATTGTGCATGATACAGTACGTGTTAGCTGCAAGGGTCTTGACCAGCTGCAAGGGTCTTGACCTTATGACTCCAAAACTAAAGAAAGAGTCGAGGAGTCAGAGTAGCGTAACTTGGAGCCAACAACTCATATTAAGCAACCTAGATGGCCTAGGAATCCAATAAACCTCTTCAACTCCTAAACATGACTAAGACACATTTTAAAATCGTGAGGCTGATGACGATTCATAACGGACTAAAGTATATAATATATGTTAGCAGTGATTTGTAGATAATACAAAAAAAAAAAAAAATAATAATAAATAGTCAAGATGGCCGAGTTGGTCTGCGAAGGGGCATGAGTTTGAATCCCATTCTTGACATTATATTCTTTAGCGTGAGATTATGCAATGATTGGAGAAGTGTAATGGTAACCATTTTAAAATGTGAGGCTTGAATATATAACGAGCAATGTAGCAGTGAGCAATGTAGGATTAAGAATTGAATCTTGTATCAACTAATTTTGTTTTGTACATTTACAAGTTATTCAATTTTTAAACCTCCTCGAGTTATGGGTCCACCACACTTTCACTATACCACTCTAATCCGTGAGAAAAAAGGATGATCTATTGTGATGTGTGCTCCAGGTTTATTTATAGATATTATCTTCCAATGGAGCTTGTTTGCTTGTATTGTGCATGATATAGTATGTGTTAGCTCCAAATGTTTGACAATGTGTTCTCCCAATCTAGCGTGTTTATCCACACAAAGTTAGGGTATAAGAGTTAGGTTGGTTATATGATGACTTAGGTCAAGATGCATACACTAGACTAAGCACCTTAGGATTGTGGTGACATTAAGAGGGTCTAGACCCTATTACTTTAAGACTAAAGAAAGAGTCGAGTAGTCAGAATAGAGTAATCTAGAGTCAAAAGCTCGTGTTATGCAACATAGTTGGTCTAGGAATCCAATAAACCTCTTCAACTCCTTGACATGACAAAGACACATTTTAAAACCGTGAGGCTGACGAGGATGCATAGCGAGCCAAAGTGGATAATATATGCTAGCAGTGGTTTGTAGCTGTTACAAAAAGAATAGTCAAGATGATCGAGCGGGTCTATTTATTAGCTTACAAATTAGGTATTAAAAAGTTTTATCATGATATAAACAAATTGAATTCAAATTGTGCAGATGGTACAATATTTATTATCTATCCACGAAACAAACACTACAAAAAAAAACGTGTGCTACATCAAATGAGAAGTGATAGCCAAACAAAATTGAAGAACCATGTTATGACGGGTTATCGACATCACCACTGCCCAAAAACTTAAAAAAAAGTTCATTGAAGACGATACTTGAATACAAAGGTGATTGGTTTCAAGAAGTGCAAGGTACAATGATGTTGACGGCAACGGTTATTGCAACAGTGGCTTTTCAAGGTGCAATCAACCCTCCCGGCGGTGTTTGGCAAGAAGATATTCCTTATAACTCCAATAGCACTATTCATCGTTTGTTTCACAGTAGCAATACTTTGAGAACTTTCATGGTAGGAACTGCAGTAATGGCCTACCCAAATTCATGCCAAGAAAACTACTACACTGCTTACTTGATTACGAATTCTATCTCATTCTTTGCATCAATATGTGTGATTATGTTCATTATAGGTCGATTGCCTTTGAGAAATAGGATTTGTGTATGGTTATTAACTGTAACCATGTGCATTGCCATTGCATCCTTATCACATAGTTATTTATTGGGAGTTCGGCTGCTAAATGCCTCATTTAGGAATTCTTATGCTTCAAGAGTAACATTTCTAACAGCATGACATACCTTGTTAGCGATGCTGGGAGTGGTTTGTCTTTGTTGTATTGCAATTCCTTTCCTTACTTTTGTGGCGAAGCTTCTCGTTTGATCCGTAAAAAAGTCAAATCTTTGACTTTGAGAGAGATGCAATGGCTTCAACCACAACTCAGATAAAGATTGAGGGCTACACAAAAACAAAGTTATGTTGCATGTTTCATCTTGTATTTTGGATATAGATTATTTGTGGTGGTGTGTGTTCACAATAAGGAAAACATATTTTGTGTATGTTATTTTATTTAAATGTTTGTGGAGTAAAATAACTAGAAGTGTTGAGAACAAGCAAAAAGAGAAAGAAAATACCCAAAGTGATGAAATATCAAGCCGTTTTGTGTTCCCTTTGTTGTTCATTTTGTAAAGCTCTTAAAAAAAGTGGCTCTTACCCACATGTTGGTACGGTTTGAATAAAGAAATTAAAAAAGGAAAAGAGTTCGGACCTTATAATATGTTAGAAAACTTGGAAAAAAGGTAAACCATAGAAATTACGCATGATATTAGAAGTCACGACCTGTTTCTTTAGACGTCGAATAATATATCTTGACAAAAAAGACAGACCTCAAGCATTTGATATTCAAGCCGATCTGATTTTCAACTTCAGCTTACCACATCTTGAAGGTGACAATGAAGGTGACAAACACATCTGACTTGGGTAAAGTCGACATCAAAATTAGTGCTTCAATTTCATATTCAATATTAATTTCCACGTAACTCAATTGACTTACAATCATGTTGTACTCATTTATATGATCAGCAACAGATCCACCTTCAGACATTGGTAGATTGAACAATCCTCCGCATCAAATACACCATGTTCATAACCAACGGTTTTTCATACATATTCGACATTGTCTTCAATAGATCTGACATTGTCTTGTCCTTAATTATGTTGAACGCCACGTTTCTGGACAGCGTCAACCAGATCAACCCTAGGGCCTAACGATCCTAGAGCTTCCATTGCTCCGTGGTCATGGTATCTGGCTTCACCCCCAACAAGGGTTCGTTAAAAACTTTTTGGTACAGGTAATCTTTAATTTGCATCTTCCAGAAACCGAAATTGGTCCATCAAACTTCTCAATTGCAATCTTTGAACTTTCCATCTCTCAAACCGTGGTGAATCTCGCCTAGTTCTAATACCAGTTGTTAGGATTGCACAACGACGAACACACTCGATCAAGATGAACCCAAAGAAATAGGAGAGAGAAAATGCAAGAAAGAATATTGGCTAAAGAATTTGAATTTATGATATTAGATGTGCACTACTTAAAAGTTATAATATGGTTTTAGTGTACTATATGACTTTAACTCATATAACACCTATTAGATATAAATATTTACTATATAACATTACTTTCCTTTTTAATTACAACAAAAAGGTTGACTGAACTATTTTGAAATAAATATAAGGATAAAAATGAAACTGTTTTTTTTCTAAATTTAACAAGTGTGGGTATAATTTAACCAGGAGATGCATTATCCTTATCCATGATTCAACAAATGATAGCACTCCAATAAAATTAAGTGAAATAAATAATGATATATAAATAAGCTTCCTTCGGTTTGCTTCCCATCCACTTAAACTAGGATGGTGACACTTTGGTGTCATTCTCGAGTGAAAGTATAAATAATGATTTTCTTTCTTCTTGGAATTGAAGGCAATAATTAGACTATTTTTTAAATTCAAAAGGTCAACTTTAAATTAGTTGAGAGCCTCAACATCTATTAAAAATAAATAAATAAATAATCAACAAAATCGTATAAATAAAATATAGTATTTTTAATATTGGCTTATAAATTCTGTGTGAAAACCCCAATTGGAAGTAAGTTAGAGAAACAATAATGGAGGCAAATGGTGAAAACAACGAACTTAGATTAGCCATTTCCTCTTTTGAAGAAAGTAAAAGAAAGCTCTATGAAGCATCAAAGATTGGGTCCATTCAAAGCTTGAAAACACTAATTCGAGGCGACCCAAATATCATTCAAAGAGTTCTAATCTCTTCATCCAATGTTGAGAGTCCATTGCATGTCTCAGTTTTACATCACCACCTTGAATTCACTCAATTTCTTTTGAATCTCGTGCCTGAACTTGCGGGAGAAGTTGATGACCTGCAAAGGACACCTCTCCACTTAGCTTCTGAAAATGGAACGGTCGAGATTGTTCAAGCTTTGCTGGAGAAGAACACAAGCACTTGCATGGTTCGTGATTTGAATGGGTTGATTCCTCTCCACCATGCAGTGATTAATGGAAGAATTGATATCATTCAACGGTTGATCATTGCGAGGCCAAGATCTCCTTGGGTTAAGCTTTACAACTGTCAAACTATTTTTCACTTATGCATAAAACACAACCATTTGGAAGCTCTTAAGTTGTTGATCACAATGATTGAAGATCCACAAAATTATGGGTTTCTCAACCAAGGCGATGAGAATGAAAATATCATTTTGGATTTGTCTATGATGTTAAGACGAACTGAGGTATGTTATTATACTGAATTATAGCTGGTGGAAGAACAACTAATTTCTTATTTGATTATTTAAAAAAACTGAAAAATTATTATTTCGGAGCTTAAATAGGTATCAAATAGGTCTTCATCCTCCTCTCGGACGAAGTACAGTATAGAGCTTCCCTTAAGGCCTATAGAACCCTCGAACAAAGTACACTATTTGTTTGAAACTTGAGTCACTTTTGACTACACCTTCGAGGGTCCCAACTTCTTTCGTTTGACATTTGAGGATTCTATTGATATGACTAGGTTAAGGGCATGGCTCTGATACCATGTTAGGAATTATGGATCTCCACAGTGATATGATATTGTCCACTTTGAGCATAAGCTCTGGTGGCTTTCTTTGGGCTTCCCTAGAAGGCCTCGTACCCATGGAAATGTATTCCTTAATCATAAACCCTAGATTATTCCCTAAATTAGCCAATGTTGGGCTCCCTCCCAACCATCCTTCACATTATCTTGATATAAAAAAAATTGAATTCAAATTGTGCAGATAATACAATATTTATTGTCCATCCCAAGAATAAAAACTGGAACAAACATTGTAAACAACTCCGATGCCTCAAATGAGAAGGAATCGCCAAGTAGAATTGAAGAACAATGCAATAAAGGGTCATCAACATCAACAACACTCAAAAAGCTCCTAAGAAGTTTGTGGACGAAGAACCTTGAATACAAAAGTGATTGGCTTCAAGACGTGCAAGGCACAATGATGTTGGTGGCAACAGTGATTGCAACCGTGGCTTTTCAAGGTGCAATAAACCCTCCTGGAGGTGTTTGGCAACAAGACATTCCATACAACTCCAGTAGCAGTATTCATCGTTTGTTACATTGTAACAATACTTTAAAAACTTTCATAGCAGGAACGGCAATAATGGCTTACCCAGCTTCAGGCCAAGAATATTATTACGTTGCTTACTTGATTACAAATTCTATCTCATTCTTTGCATCAATATGTGTGATTATGTTCATTATAGGTCGATTGCCTTTGAAAAATAGAATTTGTTCATGGTTATTAACCGTAACCATGTGCATTGCCATTGCATCCTTATCATATAGTTACTTACTGGCTGTTGGGCTGCTAAATGTCTCATTTAGCTATTCTCGTACTTTACGAGTAACATTTATAATAGCATGGTACATTTGGTTAGTAATGGGGGGATTGGTTTTTATTTGTTGCATTATAATTCCCTTCCTTATTTTGGTGGTGAAGCTTCTCGTTTGGGCTACAAAAAGGTCAAATCGTTGACTTTGAGAGAGATGCAATGACTTCAACCACAACTCAATAAAGATCGAGGGCTACATAAAAACTAGGTTATGTTGTGTGTTTCATCTTGTATTTCAGATATGGATTATTTGTGGTGTTGTGTGTATTTACAATAAGGAAAACATATCTTTGTTCATATCTTTGTTTGAAGAGTACATGAGTGATAAATAAAAGGTAACGAAAAATCTTCCTTTATATCTTTTAGTTAACATGTTGGATATCAAGATTAAAATAAGAAAATGACAAAAACATATGAGATGTTTAAGTCAATAAAACCTAAATTTAGATAGTTATCTAAATGTTCGAGAACTAAGTGTTACAAAATTTAAGAAAAATTATGGACCAAAGTTATAATAGAAAATAATTACTAATTTGTTATGACAATTAGAATTTTTTTAAATGACACTATGAAAAAAAAATATAAAAGAAAGTGAATTTGATTTACCAGAAGAGAATAAATGACACTACCTGAATAGTTGATATAAGATCTACAATCAAGATTTGTTCTTCATCACTTTTGATACGTAATTCTTCGAAATATTTGATGACATAGAATAGATTCTATATGTTGGCGTTAGGAAATCAATGACAATTGATGTAGTAGGAGACGTTAAGATGTCATCAAATAAAAATGGTTATTTAATGCTGAATATGGTGTTTTTAGTAACAATAAGGGAAATTTAATTTTCCAAGCTTTATTACTAAGTAGTTCATATAGTATGAATTACTTTTGTAGTATTACCGTTTATATTTTCAAAATTATTTGAAAATATGTTTAGGACAACGTTAACATTTACGAGATTATAAAATTATTGAAATATATATGATCATGGAATTAAGAATAAAAAGATAAATTATTTTACGCTAAAAGAAGACATTTGTCTTTGGCAATTAATTTGATTAACATCAAATTGAATAAAATGAAAAGATTAGTAATGGAAAATCTCTAAACATCTCTATAGATCTTGTTTTTTCATGCAACAGTCATTAGACTTTTATTATATAAGGCTATAAGACCAAAGAGCACTCTGTACTTATACATTCTGATCACTTGTGAATATTTTATTGATCTGATGGATGATTATACAATTATATAAGTATTTTTACCCAAACAACTTAGTCTAATTTTAATGGATAGAAAGTGGAATTGAAATCCAGCTCTAAACATGAGTACCATTTTGTAAAATTGTGAGGTAAGAGGAGAAAGCAAGACTATATTCAATATAGTCATATATATATATAAAAGTTATATGTCATTACCGGACTTTTGTTAAGATGTGTAATAGAGATTGCATGAGGAATATGACTTCCTTTAAAATTGTCTATGTGACAATTTTAGGATTATGGAACCATAATAAACTTAGTTTTCAACACTTCAATAATTAGAATTGTTAAGCATATATGCGGAAACAAATTCAAAGATGATGAATATATTTTAATAGAAAAGTGATGAGATCGACTCCATTCTATTGAAATCCTAATTGTGACCAAGTTGAAGTCATAAAATCTAAAGATTTGTAGATATTCTTAATAAAATTAAATTCATACTATGTGAATGGATCTATAAAAGGATAATTATGTATACATATCTTTAAAATAGAATTTAGGGCAAAAAGGTTAAACTTAATGGAAAAAGGTAGCTAGAAGTAGATTTTCTCTCATTATTCTAGAGTCTATTAAGATTATAGTGATTCAATTTTTGCAATTCATTTTTCTAATATCTGCAACTCTAACATCAACATTAGGTGAAATTATGCATGTATGACACGATGGTATCAAGGACAAGAGGTAGACAATCTGGGTAGGAGGAGTTTGAAGAACGAGCACCACTCCAATGGGCAGAGATAGAAACACGAGCAAAAGTTGGAACATCTAGCACCTCCAAGCAAAAATTTGGTGCTGAGGAAGGAAAGAAATTCAAAAAGTAGAGTTGGAAGAAGTACGTTAAGACGTCTTTCTCAGTAGCTCATGATCAAGAGGTAGAGGAAAGAGGAAAGAAAAACAAGAAAACCTCCCACGCAAGTAGAAAAGTTTACAACCAAAGAGGCGTATAACAAATATGAACTTCTCAAGCCAAGGGCAGAGCTATTAGAAAGTAGGTTCTCAAAAAATATATTCAACCTTTTAAGAATGCTAATGTCTATCATCAACCTCGGTTGGGATATTTTTTGCCACAATAAAAAACAAGCTATAGTTTCAATGGTGAAGGAATTCTATGCACATGGTAACCGAAAGAAAGAATACAACTTAAGTTAGAAGAAGAAGATAATTGATTGGAGCACTAAGGCCATTAACCAATTCTTCCAACAACAAGCCTTCAAATATGTCGCATTTAATGAAATGGCAATAGCCCCTAGGATGTGCAACTCAAAACAACCTTGGAAACAGCAACACATTGTTAAATTTCAAAAGAAGAGGCTGAAAGTAAAGGTGTAGGTTGCAAACCTGCTACCCACCACACCACATATGATACAACATTATCTGCTGAATAATTCTCTTCTTCTTATGTCATTACATTCGACATAAGAGGAAGAGAATGCTTCCTTTAAAGATGCCTAAATATGAAGGGAATTTTTTGTCCATACTTTTTGCAACCTTATTGTATTACTTAGAAGCATGCATCCATATTGTGCTTGACTATTTTTTATTGTTTTTTTTCATATAACTCGAGACAACGCTCGTGTATGTACCCTAGAAGCATGATCTTTTTAGGTAGGGTCATACATCATGCATTTTAAAACTCATATCTTGGACTAAGAATCTATAATATCACATTGAGATATTATAATAAATTAGTATTTCAATCTATGCTTGAATCTTGTTGTACAATTGTTATAGTATGCAGGAGGGTGTAGGAGTTAGGTAGGTTATATGATGACTTAGGTTAAGATGCCTACACTAGTCTAAGCACCTTAAGAACGTGGCGTTAAGAAGGTCTAGACCCTATTACTCCAAGACTAAAAAACGAGTCGATGAGTTAGAATAGAGTAACTTGGAGCCAAAAGCTCGTGTTAAGCAACCTAGCTGGTCTAGGAATTCAATAAACCTGTTCAACTCCTAGAAATGACCAAGATGCATTTTAAAACCGCAATGATGCATAATTCTGATACCATATCATGATAAATCTCGCCTAGCTCTAACACCAGTTGTTAGGATTGCACAACAACGCACATACTCGATCAAGATGTTCACAAAAAAATAGGAGAGAGAAAATGCAAGGAGAAATATTGGCTAAAGAATTTGTATATACCAGACTTGAGGTAGGTACATTTTGAAACCAAGGCTATATATATGGTTTTAGTTTCGTATATATAAATATTATATATAAATATTTACAAAATATATTTCTACCTATTTTTATTATAAATAGTTTGCAGACTCCATATCCCAATGCTATCACATCACACTTTTTCTTTTTATTTCAACTATTTTGAAATAAATTTAAGGGTTCTACTAAAATCTATCTCTAAATTTAACAATTGTTTGGTATAATTTAACTTAATCACAACTACTAAAGGCATTATCCTTACGGATGAAAAACGATATCTTCCCAATAAAATTAAGTAAAATAAATAATGATGTATATTTCCTTCGATTGGCTTCCTATCCACTTAAACTAGGATGGTGACACTTTGGTGTCATTCTCAAGTGAAGGTATAAATAATGATTTTTTTCTTTTGGGAAATGAAGTCAATAATTGGACTATTTTAAAAATTCAATAGGTCAAT